CTTCCTCCCAAAAATGAAACACACAGAAGGCAGCAGTCAGAAAAGGAAGGGCGGTACCATACGAGCTGCTATCCCCCCAGGCTTCTGTGTGGTGCCTAGGTGCCCTACCCGCAGCCGGGCTCCCACGCCCCATCCCACTGCATCCAGACCGGGGGCAGAGGGTCGCCTGCGAGAATCCCAGCGCGGGGACAACCCCTTTGTTACCCCCCCTTGGCACCCCACCCTCCGCTTGCTCCGCACTGCGCACGCGCGCCCTCTTCGCTGGTGAGCGCGCACCGGGGCGGTTGCGGTGCTAGGCGCGTCTGATTGGCGCGCGGGGCGCGAGCCCGCGGCGGTGACGTATACCCCCGGTGGCCAATGGGAGCGAGCGGAGGGGGGGGGGGGGGGGGAGCATGAGCCTCGCCCCTTGGCGCCATCTCCCTTTCCCCCTCCCGCCCTGTTTTGGGCGGAGCCGGCGGGCGAGCAGGCGCTGGCCTGGCAGTGATGGCGGACGATGGGGATGGGCAGCTGAGGACTGAGGGGAGCGACGGGCTGGGGGTGGCGGGCGTGGAGGAGGAGACGGTGGCGGCGGGGGAAGGGGGGGTGGCCGGCGGGGAGATGCTGCTGAGCTTGGGGCTGCTGGCGCTGGCGCTGCTGGCGGCCTACGGGCTCTACGTGCGCTGGGGCCGGCGGAGCGGGCCGGGGGCCGCGGCGCAGCAGAACCAGGCCGCCGCCCTGCCCCGTATGAAGCGCCGGGACTTCACGCTGGAGCAGCTGCGCGAGTTCGACGGCGCCCGCAAGCCGCACATCCTGCTGGCCGTTAACGGCAAGGTCTTCGACGTCACCAACGGCAGCAAGTTCTACGGGCCCGGTGAGCGCCTCGCCCGCCCCGCCCCCCGCGGCTGCGCGCCGGGCCCCGGAGGGTCGGGGTAGGGGAGAGCCGCACCTCACAGGCGACCCACAGTGTGTGTGTACACGTGCATGCGCCTGTCTTGCTAGATATGTAAATACTTCCGCATGTCTGTACGCACAGCACAAGCTTTTGTGAACTGATTCAATGAGCTTCAGCTCAGGCAAACTTGTGCAAATGTACATGCATACAGTGGGCGGGGGTGTACATATATGTGTGCACACACATTGTCCATATACATATATAGTAGATAGCTTTAGCTTTTTGAGCTGAAGCTCCTTTCAATCCACAAAAGCGTGTCTCTAGGTATATGTATAGTTACCTTTCTCTCTCGGTGTGTGTGTGCGTGTGCGCATACACCCACACACACGTGCCCATACACTATACTATGTGTATACCACAAGCTTTCCTGAGCTAAAACTCACTTCAAAATTCACAAAAGCTTGTGCTGTGTATATATGTAGATCTCTCTCTCTTCTCTGTGTGTGTATACACGCACACACTATTACGTGTATAGTAAAAGCTTTCCTGGGCTGAAGAAGCTCGCGTCATCAGTAAACAAAAACTTGTGTGTCTGCGTGCATATGCTTTAGTTAATCTCCAAGGTGCACATCTACCCTCTTTTATGATCAGAGACTTGCAAGGCAAACCAAAGGAAAGGCTGAGGGACCTGGGACTCCTCAGCCTGAAAAAAAGAAGACTGAGAGGGGACTTGGTAGCAGCTTACCACTACATCGGAGGCATACATCAAGGGCTCGGTGAACAACTGTTCACCAGGGCACCCTTGGGGAAAACCAGGAGTAATGGTCACAAACTCCAGGAAGACTGTTTCAGGCTCAACATTAGGAAAAACTACTTCACAACTAGGGTGTCCAGACTGTGGACTAAGCTTCTTCCAGAGGTGGTGCAGTTGCCTACCTTGGAAATCTTCAAGAGGAGACTGGACAGGCACCTTGCTGGGGTCACCTCACCCCAGTTGTCTTTCCTGCTTGGTGCAGGGGGCTGGACCTGGTGATCTTCCAAGGTCCCTTCCAGCCCCATACAATCTGTGAATCCTGCAGGGAGCCAAAGCCCACAGACTTTTTCCTCTGACTTCATTTGCAGCATAATTTAGTTTCTTCCCATGATTCCATACAACTGGGTCGAAGCCTGAATCAGCACTGGCTTAGTGACTTCATCCTAACGTTACAATTGTGGGGGGGACGGAATCCGGACATCACTTACAGTGCAAATGACTTATTTATTCCTGAGCCCACAAACTTCAACCCCTGGATAAAGCCTTAGTATTAATAAGGCTTCCAAGTGTTTTAAATTTAACCATATCTCTTGGGTGCAAAGATTGCCTGTGAGGTGTAATTTTCTTGGTTTTAAACAATAGTGTTTTGGAAAAACATGACACAATCAGATGTGAGGGCTTTTTTAAGTAGTAGGTTAATGGTATATTTTAAAAAAAATCTCATTTCTCTCTCTCTCTTGTTTAACCTTTTGAACAAATCTGATTTTCTCTTCTAATGTTCTTGGCCTTAATATTCTTGCTTGTTAGTCAGTTTCATTGTGTGGTTCTTCATTAGTAGTAATCTAGATCTATACTATAAATGTTGCTTCCTATCATCTACAGGAACTGACATAACTAAACATGAGGAGTGCTTTAAAACATTCCTACTACAGGGCACTGTAATATCTGCACTTCAGGCCTATACTGCTTGGTCATACCTTCTCTTATTGGGCAGTAAAAGCTCTCAGTTCGGTCTGTTGTTGCTAAATGAGTCTGTTCTGTTCTGTTCTTATTATAAGTGGTATTAGGCATGTGTGTGCACACACACTGGATTTAGGTCCTTTTGTAGACAAAAATAATCCTCAGTACTTATAGCAGAGGTCTGTCTTATTCTGAGAGTCAGACTGTTTCACATGCTGTGTATTGATGCTGAAAACATCTGTCTAGTTGTCAAATCTCTACCAGTTCAGGAGGCCTAAACAGTGGTCCACTTTTCATAGATTCATAGATTCATAGATTAAGGGTCGGAAGGGACCTAGTAGATCTTCTAGCCCGACCCCCCGCCAGGGCGGGAGAACAACAAAAAACCCCAAAAAGAGAAAGGACTCAAATGAGTCCAGCCAGGTAGGCATCCAGCCTCTTCTTAAAGACCCCCAGGGTAGGGGCCAGCACCACTTCCCTTGGAAGTTGGTTCCAGCTCCTAGCCGCCCTAACTGTGAAGTAGTTCTTGCGGATGTCCAATCTATACCTCCTCTCCATCAACTTGTGCCCATTGCTTCTTGTTATGCCAGCGGGCGCTAGGGGAAACAGCGTCTCCCCCAAACCCTTCTGGTCCCCCCTAGTGAGTCTATAGACTGTCACCAGGCCCCCCCTCAGCCTTCTGTTATGGAGGCTGAATAGGTTCAGGTCCTGCAGTCTCTCACTGTAGGGTCTGCCCTGTTGTCCCCGGATCATGCGGGTGGCCCTCCTCTGGACCCTCTCATAGGTTGGATTTTCAAACTGGAGGGAAAGGGTAACAGGTTAACATTTTAGCAGGTTATCTAATATGAAAAAGTGGTGTCCATTTATAATGGACTGAGTCTTTTGCTGAATTATTTGAGAGCAGAATTGTGGTGGGAAGGAGATCATCTGTTGGTGGAAATGGTTTGAAGGTTGTACAAGTTTACATTATCAGTGGCCTTTGATTGAATAGACTTTGTTCCAGTTCTATGTGTAGTACTTATGAAAACTAAGCTGTTTGCTGAGGAGGATGATAAAAGTTAGCAAGCAAGCTGTAAGTTGTGCCCAAAATGGTCAAAATGTATAATTAGTTACAGTCAGGTAAAATATTACTCACAACAATTCAGTTTGACCATATTTATGAAGCACCTATGGGTTTAATTGCTGCTAGTCCTGGGCAGTTTTTACATTAGTACATAGTGGTGTCAGTGTCTTTCTGATATGCTTATAATGATTTCCTGGGATAGGAAATCCTGGTAATTGGGGGAAGAGGGGAAGATTGTAATAAATGTTTTTTATTTAATGTTTTATTTTCACATTCAATCACATAAATATGTTCAATGAAATTAGGTGGTAGATTTCTATTATCTAGCATTTTTAAATGCATGCAAGCGCTTCAATGAATAGTAAATAGGAGTTAGGTTTCTGTACATTTTCATTTTAATATAGTCATGGTTACTTTACAGTTCAGGTTGTGACAGCATCTAAAGATTCTGTATCAGTTAGATTCACATTAGAATGAAAATAAAAGTCCTAACCTTTAAAAACAGTGATGAGAGCGCACCTGTGGTATATCTTCCCATTGGTTTTATGTGTATTCCAGCCATAAAATTTGGGGGAGACTCTTTCAGCTACAAACATGAATCTCAAAAAATAGTGTTATGGGAGAAGAGCAGGCTGGTTTTAGAAAAGGCTGTTTTTGTATGAATGACTGCTTGTCTTGCATTATTTGGCATCAAAATATGTGAAAAGATAAAATCATTTATGTGTAGCCTTCATAGATCAAAAGTGAGCTTTTGACTCCATAGATCCACTAAAATTATGCAAGAATCTGGCAGTAACACCAGTCAACAGTTGGATTTGTGATTTGAATTCAGTTCAGATTTGATCTGGAACTTCTTGTTTCTCAAGATATTTTAATAGTTGTCTCATACACAGACCATCTGTTTGTTTAATTTCCTTCTAGATCTTTTTCAGACTTGGTCCGCAAAGCTGTTCCTTTCTGAAACATCATATGGTATCATCTGCCTTTTTTGCTCATGAACATAGTTTTTGATTAGAATAGTGCTGTTTCTCTGATTATTTTGTCCTTCTTTTGTTAGCTGGCTTGGCACAATGAATCGGATTGCTAGAACAACAGTCTAAATCAGTGGTTCTCAACCAGGGTGCTGCAAATCCCTCTCAAGTGTGCTGGGATGCATGCTCTGCCGCCATAATGACAGCCAGATAAAACTGTCCCATGCACATTTCTGCTGCACTGAGCACAAAACTTCCTGTGCATCTTTGTTTCTGAGAGGAGCCAAACCAGGAAGGACACCACAGCAAAAGGCAGATCCTACCTGCTTTAGGTTGATCAAATAAACTTTAGCATAGGAGGAACATGTGCATACACCAGAGCCCTTCCTGGGATGGCAGTGCAGGTAGGCATGGGGCAATTTTATCTGGAGGCAGCAGCACCTAGTTGAGAAGCACTGAGGTAAGTTGGTGCCAGCACTAACAGTGCCTCTCATCTAGAGATGCCACCACTCTTTAAAAAAAAAATAGTGGATGGGCAGCGTTCCCTCTAAGCTGTGTGGTATGCGCAGGCGCGCCTGGCAGCATGGCATGAGCACACCTGTGCAGCCGCACATGCCACATAGCTTAGAGGAAACACTGTGGACAGGTGCCATGGATCTGAAAAGGTTGAGAACTACTAGTCTAAATCAAGGCCTGTGGTTTTAGAGGGAAGCCTCATTCTATTGATGATCCTGGATCCACATCTTAAGACCTTTCCATGCCTTTCTTCCATTTAGGCACATCAAAATGAGCCGTATCAATGTCTTCAAGACTTCCTTGTGCAGAAGTATCATCCTGTTTTCTTCAAATACGTTGGTGATCTGAGCATTAGAGTGATGTGTTGTAGCCATGATGGTACAAGGATTTTTTGGGGTAATATCTTTTATTGGACTGGTTGTACTGTTCAGATAAATGTAGAGAAACTTAAGAATGCAAAACATTCTTCTATAGGTCTTGTGTTTTAAAATATTTTTTAAAAGATATATTTAAAAATATCTGACTCAGAGTAGATCAATATGCCAAGAAATTCTGATCTTGTTTGTATGTGTGGTAGATGAAAACTTCATAATGGAAAGTGTATAGCTTTCCAGTGAGATTATAATTGACACAGGCTATTTTTTTCCCCCTCAGACCTAAGAAGCATAGAAGGTATTGGGTTTTAGCAGCCAATACTAATGGCACTACAAAGCCA